GGCGAGCGTACGCGCCCTATAGCAAAAACCTCTCCATAAAAAAAAAAAAAGAAAGAAAGTTACACTGGACTAGGACCAGCAGGTAGTGTGGTTAAGGCACTGGACTCCCATATGACTGACCACAGTTCAAGTCCTAGATCTGGCAGCTTGTTCTCTATTTTTCTCTTTCTCTCTGATGAGCACATGTGCTCTGTACCAAATTTTAAAAATAATAATGATAAAGTTAAATTAAAAAAATAAGTCTTTTTAAAAGAAAAAGAAAGTTACACTGGGTACATGTGAATGTGCATCCAAAATCCTGAGGAGAATGGAGAAGGGATTGCAACATGGTCATCCCCTCGGACAGTGATTTCTCACTTTCTCTGTCTCCTCTGTCTCTCTCTGGCAAGTGCACTCATCCTATAGCCAACTTTAAAAACAAAAAGGGGGAAATAATCTGAATACACATTACTCAGAAAAAAAGAATTGGGACCAGCAGATAACATAATGGTTATGTCGCTGGACTCCCATGTAGTCGACTGTGGCTTGAGTCCCAGACCTAGCAGCTTAAAACTCATGCTGGAAATTTGTACATTCGTGCCCAAAATCCCAAGAGAATAGAGGAGAAGGGATTGCAGCATGGCCATTCCCCTTGTGGGTGATTTCTCATTTTCTGTCTCCATCTCTCTGGCAGGCACACGCACCCTATAGCAAAAATCTCTCTGAAAAAAAAAAATAACAATAATAATAATAATAATAATCAAGCTCCATCATGGTGGCACAAACAATAGTAGGGGCACTGCTGAATGATACTGAAGCCATGTAAAGAGGTCCTAGGTTTGGATCCCAGGTCAACCTAAACATGCTAAGTAAGTGTGCCCTTGATCCAGTTCGGAAGGTGGGAGGAGATCATAATGTGGTGAGACCATATCAAGGGTACCAGGGTACTTATTTCTGTTTCTCTCTCAATGAATGAATGAATAAATCAATTAATAAATAAATCTATCAAAAAAAAGATATACAAATGGCCAATAAGTACATGAAAAAAATGCTCAACATCACTAATCAATAGGGAAAAGTAGGTCAAAGCCACTATAAGATATCTCACCCGAGTTAGAATAGGTATTATCAAAAAGACAAAAAAAGAACAAAATACTGGTTAGGATGCAGAGAAAGTAGAACTCTTATACATTATTGGTAGGGATATAAACAAGAACACTCATTATGAAAAATAATACAGCAATTATTCAAAAAGATAAAACTATGACCTAGCAATCCCATTAGTGGGCATATATCCAAAGGAAAGTAAATTATGACAATTAAATACATACTGCCATACTTACTACAGCCACATTCAAGATATGGAATAGGGCCAGCCCTATAGCCTATAATTAAGAGAGACAGATGGTCAACTGAGGTTCAAATCTCAGTCTTGGTGTCTTGAAAAACACACTGAGTACATGTGTATGTGTCCCCTAAACCCTGACAATATGGAGAAGTGATCGCTGCATGAGCATGCCCAATTGGAGGGCTTTTCTCTTTCTCCCGTTTGTCTCCCTGCCTCTCTCTCTGATAAGGCACACATACTCCAGCATTTAACAAGAACAGAATCAACCTAGGGATCTTTCAGTGGATAAACAAAATGTGATATATATGCACAAAAGAATATTATTCAGCCATTAAAGAGAACAAAAATCCTGTCATTTCAGGCAAGATGGATGAGCCTTAAGGACATTAATGAAATGAGCCAGGCACTGAAAAAGAAATACCACCATGTTCTCACTCATGTGGAAGCTAAAAAAAAAAAAAAAAAAAAAAATTAAATTAAATTTAAAAATCAGCCTCATAGAAAGAGAAGACAGTAGCTACTAGGTCTTTTTTGACTGGAATCATGGAGGGCATTCAAGAGGAAAAAGAAAGCTCCTGCTGTGGCAGAAACCAAGAAAAAGGTTCCTGCAGTGATAGAAGCCATGAAGAAAAAGGTTCTTGCTGGGCCAGAAACCTTTAAGAAAAAGCAAAGGAATTTAGAAGAGCTGAAGATCAAGCACCTAAGAAAGATGTTTGCACAAAAGATGCTTTGAAAGGCAAGGAGAAAGCTTTTCTATGAAAAAGCTAAGCACTATCATAAGGAATATAGGCAGATATGCAGAACTGAGATTGGCATAGCCAGGAAGGCAAGAAAAGCTGGCAACTTCTATGCACCTGCAGAACCCAAATGGGCGTTAATCATCAGGATCAGAGGTATCAATGGAATGAGCCCAAAGATTCGAAAGGTGTTGCAGCTTCTTCATCTTCGCTAGATCTTCAATGGCACCTTTGTTAAGCTCAACAAGGTCTTAATTAAGATGCTGAGAACTGTGGAATCACATATTGCATGCAGGTACCCAATCCTGAAGTCAGTAAATGAACTAATCTACAAGCATGGTTATGGCAAAATCAATAAGAAGTGAATTGCTTTGAGAGAGAACTCTGATTGCTCCATCTCTTGGTAAAGTCGGCATCATTTACATAGAGGGTCTGATTCATGAAATTTGAATGGAAAATGCTTCAAAGAAGCAAATAACTTCCTGGGGCCCTTCAAATTATCTTCTCCACAAGGTGGAATGAAGAAAAAGACCTATTTTGTAGAAGGTAGAGATGTTAGCAACAGGGAAGAACTAAGGTGAGAGATTACATCCTGCGAGAAGCTGTCATGCTAGAGTAAAAGTAGTAATAACTGATCATTTATCCCATTAAACATTGAAAGGGGTTTGGTTGAATTTTAATCCTATATTCAATGGGGGGGCTAGAAATAACTATCTTAAATGATTGTAGCTCACTTACTTAGTCTTTCTGGAGAGAAAAAAAGTCCATTCTTGTTTTTTTGTGTGTGTTTTTGTTTTGTTTTGTTTTTAAGGGAAACTGTGACCTGTTAATTAACAGGTAGGTTCTTTCTTTAGCAGGCTTTATTTTACCCCTTTAGGTATCCACCATGATTATTTTTGTAATCTGGTCAGTAAATAAACAGGGAGGCTGTTTTCAGACTGACTATATTGTACTAGTAATATTTTTGTTAGCTTGCCTCTGTCTTCCCTTCGCTATTGTGGCATGACTTGGTGCTTGGTAAAATTAAGCCAAATCTTCTGCAAGACTAGGGTCCATTTTATATTTTGTGAAAATCACTTAGGGACTTACAAAAGGCTTTTCTCACACCAAAACGGCCTAATGTTTCTCCCTTGAATTGTGTTTATTCTAAGAAAGCCTATTTCAAGGCATTCATGCATGATTTATAGGTAAGGTAATAAAATAAAGGTCAGTTTGCCCCCCCCCCAAAAAAAAGTAATTACTAGTGGTGGGGAAGGAAAAATAGGAAAACACTAGCCAACAAATTACAGAGCTTCTAGGGGTGATGAAAATGTTTTAGAATAACACAGTGGGTGATGGTTTTACATGTTGAATACACTAAAACCACTTAAGGCCAACCCCCAGTGCAGCAGTTACGTACTGTCCAAAGGAAGCCAAAGTCCAATGTTATGTCCAGTCAAACAACATACCAGGTGTAAATGCCCAGGATCCTCATGGGATGGAGAAATTGAAGGGAATAAGGTTGGGAAGGATCAAGCCCTTTGAAAAGTGCTTCTTCTCTGTCTCTCGCTATCTCTTACACAGGTGCCCTATGACATTTTGTTAAAAAGTCACTTTACGGTATAGTTAAAATGTGAATTGAATGTTAAGTAAAAAAGTTTTTCTTTTTTAGACAAATGTTTTGCTATAGGGCACATGTGTTCGCCAGAGAGACAGAAAGCAAGAAATCACCCCCCAGGGGGGATGGCCACACTGCAATCTCTTCTCCACTCTCCTCTCAGGATCTTGGGCATGCATGCACACACACACAGTGTGAGTTTGAAGTCACTGGGTTCGGGACCGTGGTCAACTATGTGAGAGTACAGCAACATAACCATCATGCCATCTGCTGATCCCAAATGTTAAGTAAATTTTAATCTCAATAAAAAGCATATGAGGACGGGACCAGCAGTTGGTGTAATGGCTATGTCGCTGGACTCCCATGTAGCCGACTGCAGCTCTAGTCCCAAACTCACACTGAGTGCGTGTGCGTGCATGCCCAAGATCCCGAGAGGAGAATGTAGAAGGGATTGCAGCATGGCCATCCCCCCTGGGAGGTGACTTCGCCGCGGAGCCCCCCCCCGTGGTAGCTGCTTTCTCTCTTTCTCTCTCTCTCTCTCTCTCTCTCTCTCTCTCTCTCTCTCTGTCTTTCTGGCAAGTGCACACACCCTATAGCAAAAACCTCTCAAAAAATAAAAATAAAAATGACGGGCCAGCCCCATAGCTTAGTGGTTAAGGGAGCCAAATCCCACTTGGCCACCCACAGTTCAAATCCCAGCCCTGAAAGCTTGAAAAACATGCTGGGCACATGTGCATGCATATACAAAAGTCTCAATGGGATGGAGAAATGGAGGAAAAGGGACTGTGATGTGGCCATACCCCATAGGGAGCTTATTCCCTCTCTCTCTGTATCTCTATGGCAAACACATGCCCTCCGGCAATTAAAATACACACACACACACATACACACACATGCACACCCACACACATCTGTGTGTGTATATATATGCAAAAAAAAAAAAATTACAGATAGAACCATCACTTCAATGGGCAGGGTAAATTCTTTCACATCAGGAGTTTTCAACAAACTGCAAGTAAAACCACTCATTCCCCTAGTCCTCTCCCTCAGGGTTTACATGATGCCCGTTACCTATATAAGTGACGGTTATCTTCAAAATCTTCCTGACCCCATTTTCCCTTGACATCTTCAATAACGTGATTCTTCAGGAATTTTTTTAGCAGCTGGACTGTTTGTTTGCGAGTCACTTCAGGGCCAAAGTTCTGGCTGCACCTCAGAAGCTCATGTAGCCAATCCACCGCTTCGGCTGCGGTGAAGCAATGTTCGTAACTCTTGAAGCGACAACGATGTTTCCGTAATGGCATCCTAGCACGAAAAAGCTCCACAGTTTCATTCCACTAGGGAAAAACAAAGAGAAACACACTTAGGGATCGACTGATTTGTTTTTTAATGTTACTGTATCCCAAATATTTAAATAATAAATATAATTTTTCCATTTAAATAACTACTTAAATAACAAATGAAACCTTAAGGAATTTTCATTTATTTATTTACTTTTATTTATTTATTTATTTTGGGAGGTTTTTGCTATAGGGTGCTTGTGCTTGCCAGAAAGAGAGAGAGACAGAGAGAAACAAAAAGCGAGAAATCACCCCCCAGGGGGGATGGCCACACCGCAATCCCTTATTCATCCCTTATTCTCCATTCTCCTCTTGGGATCTTGGTCACTCACACACACATGCCCAGCATGAATTTAAGCCACCGGGTTCGGGACTCGAACATGGGAGTCCAGCAACATAGCTACTTTGCCAACTGCTGGTCCCGAGGAATGTTTACTTACAGCCTTCTAGCACTAAAGAAAAGTTCTGGAGAATTGTATAGTGATGATGGTTGACAATGCTAATGTATTTTATACCACTGAATTGTATAATTAAAAATGGGAAAATAGTTGGTTTTATGCAAATTTTGTGATTAAAAGAAAAATAGACTCTACTAGCAAGAAAAAATACTGAAGAAAATAATTTTTCAAGGTTGATTCATTATTTATTTATTAAAGAAATAGTTATTGAAAACACTGCCATCAAATCCTATTAAGGGATTTGTGCATAAAAGAAATATATATGATAATAAATAAGGGTTAAAACTAGGTCCATTAGGGACCAGCAGTTAGCATAATGGCTATGTCGCTGTACTCCCATGTGGCCAACCACGGTTCAAGTCCCGGACCCAGTGGCTTAAACTCACACCGGGAGGAGAACGGAGGAGAAGGGACTGCAGCGTGGCCATCCCCCCCGGGGGTGATTTCTCTCTTTCTATCTCTCTGTCTGTCTCCATCTTTCTGGCGAGCACATGCGCCCTATAGCAAAAAACTTCTCAAAAAAACAAAAAAGAATTGTTTATTTTATTTCATTATTATTATTATTATTACTTTCAAATTTGACCAGAGAGAGGTAGTGTGAGAAAGCAAACCATGTTTGGTACCTAAACCATAGTCAGTCATGACAACAGTTCAAACCACAGAAAATCTGTAGAATTTCAGTACATGTGTGATGGGTAAATAACCTCCCAACAAAGAAAAGCCGCTATGTCGCTGTACTCCCATGTGGCCAACCACGGTTCAAGTCCCGGACCCAGTGGCTTAAACTCATACCGGGAGGAGAATGGAGGAGAAGGGACTGCAGCGTGGCCATCCCCCCCGGGGGTGATTTCTCGCTTTCTATCTCTCTGTCTGTCTCCATCTTTCAGCACATGCGCCCTATAGCAAAAAACTTCTCAAAAAAACAAAAAACAAAAAACAAAAAACAAAAAAACAAACAAAAAAAGCCTAGGTCCATTATATGTAATTGACTTATTGGAGCTCCAAGTTTAATGTGACTTCACTTCATTCAGCAAATATTTATAGGTTGCTTATTATGTGAAGGGCATTTTATGAGATAAGGAGATGTGTAAGATTACATAATCACTGCCTGATGGCACAGTGCTCAAGACCATGAAGACAAACCTTTAAAAAGTTAATAGGTAGGGGCCAGCAGGTGGCACAATGGTTAAGGTGCTGAACTTCTACATGACCTATCGCAGTTCAAGTCCTGGACCTGGAGGCATAAAAATCACGCTGAGCACATGTGTGTGCATGCCCAAAATCCCAGGAGGAGAATGGAGAATCAATTTTCCTCTCACTACCTCTCACTGTCTCTCTCCAAGAAGTGCAAGCACCCTATGGCAAAAACAAACAGGCCGAAGGTGGCATGTTGGTTAAAGGCACTGGACTCCTACATGGCCTACCATGGTTCAAATCCCAGACCTGGTGACTTCCTTTCTCACTTTTTCCCTCTCTCTCTCTCTCTGTCTCTCTCTAGTCAAATTGGAAAATAATAATAATAATATATAAAGTTAAAATAAAATAATTCTTTAAAAAACAAAACAAAACGCTATAGGCAGTTTTTGTTTACAAGCAAGGTTATCTGAAAGGAGAGCTAATAAATACTTAAAATAATACCTATGAATTTAAAACTACCTCATGGTATTAATGCTGTTTTGAAAAAACACAGAAGTGTAAGTGTGTGGCACCTTCAGAGATACCACATGGAAGTGGTAAACTGAGTCATTAGAGCTCAGGGTCTGAAGTCAAATGCCTCAGTTCAGAGGTCTGCTCTGTTGTTTATCAGCAAGGAAACCTCAGACTTATTGCTAATGAGGCCTCCATTTCTCCAGCTGCAAAGTAGAACCCATGGGATAGGGTAGTTACAAAGACTAGACAGGACAGTGTGGAAGTCTATTACAGTGTCTTTCATGTAATAGCGCCTAACACACTTTAGCCATTATAGTGTTCTGTTACATTTATCATCAGGGTACACATGGCCATTAGAGCTGAGTGAGCCCATGAAAAAACCCTGCATGGAGTCTCCACTGACCAGGATTTAGCCCAACCTCTGTAGCTCTGAAATCTGTACTAAATATAGGGACCAGCAGATGACATAATGGTTATGTAGCTGGACTGCCACAGAGTTGATCGTGGTTCGAGTCCCAGACCCGGCGGCTAGAAACTCATGCCAGGTGTTGTGCATGTATGCCCAAAATCCCGATAGGAGAATGGAAAAGGGATTGCACCGTGACCATCTCCCCTAGAGGGTGATTTCTTGCTGTCCGTCTCTGCCTCTCCAGCGAGTACACACGCCCTAAGGAAAAAATTTTCTAAAAAAGAAATCCGTAGTAAATATAAAAAAGGTCCCAGAGGCTCAGAAAATTGATGATTTTAGAAGTCAAAAATCATGAAAATTAAAATGGGAGGGCACAAAGCTTGTAAGAAATGGTACACTAAACGCTTCAGTAAAACCCAGGAAATACAGATCTCACTGCTTCCACTTTACTTGGGAATCTTTAAAACAAACACCACACACAGTTGCCAGACGAAGTGCACACTAGCTCAATATAACACACTGCTGGCCAGTGCTCATATAACACAGTGCTCCTAACCTTAAAGCTAAGAAATACTGGACTACCTCAGTAGGATGGAATCAATCCTGTACAATGGGGAAAACATGAAGTATGGAATCAGACCTGGGTCCAAACCCCAGTTCTACCATTTACCTACACAGAAAGTACTAAAAAAAAATCCAGTTTCTTTCCACTCCAAGATACCAATGAGGGATCTTGCAAGTCACCATGTCTCATAGCACCCTTGAAGACAAAAACCAGACGTCTCTACCATGTCTCAAAGCATCCTTGAAGAGAAAAACCAGATGTCCCTTTCAAATCACTTCATGACAACTAGCTTCTTTCCCCTTATTTGTGTAAAATTACATCTATGAGCAGGAAATCAGAAGGCCTAGAAAAAGGAAGCTCACTCAGCTCACACTGGAACCTTTATGGACACCATATTGACACACTCAGCATCCCACAGTCAGCTGGCTAGAGAAAGAGGGAGATTCAGGAAGCCTTTCTTCACTCCTATGCTAGAGACACCAAGGGCATCAGCAGCAGTGTTCTTGGCATCCCTCTCAGTTACCCCTTCCCATCATGGGGCTCTCACCTACAGTCTTTACTTCTAGAATATAAACATATAAATAAATATCCTTTTTGCTCCCTTTAAACTGGAACTAGGCTTCAAACTTTTCTTCCAATTATATCTTTGTAAACATGTGATCCTCATAATAACCATCTTTTAGAAATTAAGGAATTTATTCCAAGTTATATAGTAAGTGGTAGAACCAATCTGTATATCCAAATCTGTATCTTGAATCTGAAACTGATGTTCTCACTGAAAATACAAAAATGTTAAAGGGAGACAAAGGTCACCCTATATTGTTTTGAGGCTAGCCCCAGAGAAGATGCCAATACCTGCCAAATAAATGTTTATTTAACACGTGATCTCCTTTTAGTTGGTCCACTTTTAGAGATTTACCACATAGAAGCAAAAGTATATGAAATTAAAGGCATTTACAAGGTAAATTTTATTTAATTATGTTGACATTTTTTAATTATTATTTTATTTAATTTTATTCATTCATTTATTTTAATTTGACCAGAGAGGGACAGAGGGAGAA